CTTAAATCTTCAAAAAAATGAATTAAATGCTATATAATATTGAAAAAACTGGTAGCTTTCTCGCTCTGCCAACAAGGGACAGATAAACTGTTCCTATCTTCTTTAGGGAAACCTTCCGACCCCTCCTTGGGCAATCTTTCTTTACCTTGCTGGTGTGAGGCCCCAGCTCCTGGCTCCAAGCTGCGTTATGGATAGCCCGAGTGGTCCCTTACCAGGCAATGGTTGCTGTAGATCTGCCAAGCTGGTGTCCTTTTAGTTTCTTCATGAAGGCTGTAGGAACTATTTCTTTTGCCCAGCAAAGGCTGGCTGTATTCCTCCAGCAAAGCTGTGAAACTGTAACATTACTCCCCAGCAAAGCTGGCTGTAGATCTGTTTCTTTAACCCCAGCAAAGCTGGCTATAGATGTATATAGATCTATTTCTTTAACCCCAGCAGAGCTGTAAGAAGCAAAGCTTTTTACAGGTGGGACAGAGAAAAGCCTACACGTCCTACTGCAAGGCTTCAAACTGAATTAAAAGTCCCCTTTCCCCTCCAAAACCTGGGGAAAGGGGCGGATCTAAAGGCTCTAATGAGGATTGATAGGTTGTTGGCCCTATGATTGCAACTTGGGGAAATCTACCCAATTGCAAAATGCAAGGCCCAAATAGATTCATGCAAACTAACAGTGAGAGAAAAAGAATCAAATCTCCTGGCATAGCCGTGCCAGCAGAGCCACCATTTGTATTTGTAAGTGAGATTTGTGTGCTAGAATTTCAAGCCACTTTTTCAGGAAAAAGCCAACATCACTCCCCTACAAACTGTTGGATGAGAATAATGCATATATCCAGTTAAAAAAATTATGGACGACACTGTACAGGGCTGGGCTTTCATTATACAAATTGTGAGTAGGGAGAAAACAGTTCTGGGGACATAGAAATCTTGCCAAGGTTCAGATAGGACTGCACCAAGGATAGGAAAAATATGTGTTCTTTTCAACACTCTTAATAACAATAGTCACTTCATCGATCTGAAGTTTCATTGTAAGGAGAAATGCATCTCACCTCAAGAATTTGCACATTTGTAAGTCTTATGAAACATTGGGAAGAAGTACACAAGTTACAATCACATCTGAAATATTTGAACACCAAAATTTGCAGAGCTGGAATTTAAAAATACAGGAACACCCATAGCACCTTAGAACAAAAACAGGAAGAAAATGCACAATAGAGTTAGAGAAATACAACAAAAGTAACACTGGGAGTTTTATATGCCCCAGTTGTATTTTGGTGGCCCCTGTGGAATATTTTTGTACACATAATAGGGAAGAGTCCTCCCCCCCCCCACCCCTGCAAAATCAGGACTTCATCACTGCTGTAGATTCTAATAAATGTTCAAACAAATTGCTTTGTCCATGCGGCAGCTACTTCATTTTGTTCGGTTACTAGGTTGCAATCTTGGCTCTAATGCTTCTTGCTCCTATTCAGTACAATGTCAGCATCCAATTTCTACTCATAAAAGTCAAGGATATCTCTCAGGTTCAGGAGTGTTGCTCCATTAGGAGGTGAACAAGATTACTTAAAACAAATTAGTCTACTGTTCATAGATTAGTTTCCCCTTTCCTGTTACACAGGTTAAGTGATCTTATATTCTCTCTACATATCTCCCTCTCTCGCACACACACATACTGTAAAGTACATATTAAAATTTCAAAATGTGTATTAAAATGTGACTTTTAGAATCCTAACAAATTTAAACTACAGAGAAAACTCTTCAGAGCTTTTCTTTACATTGAATAAAATACTCATGTATTATTTTAAATATTACACTGAGGAGAAAACAGGAAAATCAATTCTGTTAGCTCAGTGTGAACAAGAGAATGTTCTATGTTTCTATGGGTAATGGTATAGTGTCTTAGTTAAAGCTGCAATCCTTCACACATGTACAGTGGAACCTCGAATTAAGATTATCCCAACTGAAGAACTGTTGCTTGGCCTGGGTTTCACTTTGACGTTGGGTTGCATTTTGACTTAAGACTAGTGCCAGAGGGAATGCTAATGTGAGAGTACATGACTTTAGGGCTTCTAGCGAGTGACCTCCGTGCTTTGTGCTCTTGTCTGCTTGGGGAGATTGCGGTCCGCTTTGCTTTTGTCCGCTGTGAGGAACTTTGGGTTAGTTGATTTTGTGTGGTTTTTATTTCAGGTATGTTTGGCTTCATGAAGCGAAAGAGGGACACAGAGCAAGAGAGGGAGGGGGCTCGTATGAGTACATTATGAGTACAGTATAAAGAAAATGATGTTTATGCCTCTTCATTTGTGCTTTTTACTTTCTTGCCACAACTTTGTGCTTTTACCACGTTAAAGCTGATCTTTCTTGTTATGGTTCAACATGACTTTGCAGGTCTTGCCTTACTGTTACACTGGCCAACACATATTTTGTTGCTTCAAATGTGCTTCCTTGTCACAACTTTGTGCTTCCACCACTTTAAAGTTTACCTTTTTTATATATTGTTCCATGTGAATGGATTATTAAATAATTTATACATTATTTGTTATTTATAAAGTACATGTTCTTATTTAAAACCTCCCAAAAATGGGTGGGTGGTGTGGGATGGATTAAAAGCATATCAATGGAAAAATTCACTTTGAGATAAAAGCATTTTGAGTTAAGAGGTTAAACTCTTAAGTCACTGTACCTGTAAATATGCTCTGTTGAATGTACTTATGAGAAAATTATATTGTTAGAGGTATAAAACAACTTGCCATTTTGGGAAGAGGAGTAAATTGACCTCACTCTTGGACTCATGATAAGATTGATTTAATATCAGATGATGCCATATTAAAGAAGGAATGAGAATAAATGCTATGGCTTTCAATCTAGGTGTGTACTCAAATCAGAAATGGAGGAGACTTTTCATCACCAAACAACTGATGATGGATGGGCAATTAAATAAATAAGACAATTCAAGTTGGCTTATTAAATCTTACAAAGCATTTGCTCTCAGAGTTACTCTGAGTGTGCAGTGAAGTAGTTCAGGATGACCTTTCTTTGCCAGCAGGATAATTTATTGTCAGCACTGACAGAGGGAGAGGAATGAAAGATGCACTCCTTGAATACTTTTGAATCCTTTCATTCGGACAGTGAAAAGCTTGACACAATAAGACCTACAACTGATAATTATCAAAGCATTGCAAACAAATATAGAAGCTTTTGGGGCTGTGGGCTGACCCAATCCTCAACAACAGCACAAAATGAATCCATGGCAATGCTTTTAGAATTCTGGATGAATAGAAAAGTCTGCTTTTACCCATTTTAGAAAAGAAAGCAAATTAAAGGCAATTGAAAAAGCATGGAGGCTAAAAACAGCTCATCTGGTATTGATTAATAATATAAATTATTCAGAGAAACAACAAAGAATGGCCTCTTAGCTCTTTGTCAACAGACATTTTAGGAACAAAATAACAAAGTCTGGGATACAAACCTAGGCATATGAGTTCTATACAGAAATGTCTTATGTTTTCTCCTCTCCCTTATATTTCTTATAGTGAGGGATCCACCTCCCCATAGTACAAGTCCACGCTATTAAGAAATATGCATGGCTATCACAATCATAATGGTGTTTCCTAGTTGATGTGATCCAAAGTTGATGTGATCCAAAGAAAATTACAGGTATACTTAATTTTTTTTGGATTGTTACAATATGGTGCTGAGACAGGAAACTTGCTGAGCTTGCTTTTTTCTAATGTAGTGACTGTATTCACAGTCCATGCTTTAAGCACACAATCTACGTTATCACACCAGGGTTTAAAGTGAGCAGCCCCATGTTTCTGCAGAATTCTTGAAAATGTATTTTAGGGCAAGGCTTTTTGAATTCTCAGCTACAGAGGTCCTTGCCTTCCCAAACTACATTTCCCAGAATTCAGCAGATGGCGGACATATGGGGCTGCCTGCTTTAAAGCCCGGGTGTGATAACATAGTGCATCTTAACCTATCAGTGAAAACATCAAATGGGTGAGGTATCAAGGCATCTGACTCACACTAAACTATATGGCATATTTAAACCAATTGGTTCTAAAATATATAAGATTATATATGGCATAAAAAAAACTTGGTTTTGTTCATTTGCCATGCAGGATCTGCCATTTTTATATTGTTTGCAGTGCAGCCAACAGTGCAGTTGTGTTAAATATAACTTTCTTGCTGCCAAGCTTGGTGCCTGTCTCTGTTCTCACACCAAAAGGCAAATCTCATGACCATGGCTCATATGATAGCAGTGACTAAATTAAAAATAATGCAGTCACAATGGGGGCTCTACAGGTTATTATTTATGAAGTACAAACTGAAGGGTCACTCCAATTTAACTGAAGATTCAAAGAGACACATTTCTACCTCCCTCAGTTATTATCAAATCAACTTTCTCTTTCTAAAGGTCTCTAAAAACTACAGCTAATTAGGTGGTAACAACATTTAAGAGGTCTGACCATAAAGCTGCCCCCTCTGATTCAAGCACTGAGATCTTGACTCCTCTCTGTGGTCTTTCTTTGGAGAACAGAAAGCAACTTTCATGTCAATGGCTATCTTGGGTAACAAAGAAGAAATTGTTCTCCCAAGTGAGCTTGAACAGTAAGTCATAAAACAGATTATTCAAAGGAAGAAAAATTGTCTTTGTAAGTACCAAAGTCATAAATATCCAGTCATACTTACTTAAAAATCATGATTCAGGCATTCACAAAAAATGTTTATATTGACACATGCAAAAGGGAATATACTATCTCTCTCCCCATCACACTGCTCATTTAACTCGTAGAAAGCATACAAAATTACCCAATGGATTCTTACACTAGTGGCAAGGCTCCTTAGGCAGGAAAACCATAGATTATCCCAATCATCATCTTCACAGCCTGTTTATCATGATGCAACAGTTTTGAATTTCAGCAAATGGAGAAACAAAAGAAGGGGCAGAAATGATAAACCTCTATTCAAAAACCCCAGTTCAATTAGAAGTGGAAAAAAATGTTTCTTACCGGAAGTCATTGAAAAGATCGATGCAAGTTCCATTGTTCTCACAAGGCACAGAGTCACATTCGTTGACTTCAGTTTCACAAAATGATCCCTCCCAGCCTGGGGGGCAAAGACACTTGTAACCCTAAAATGAATACAATAAATTAACTTCTTGCCAATATTGTATTGAGCACTGATGGACCTCTAATGCAATTACAAGATCATCCGGTTATCCTCTATTTCAATTGAACGGGCATTTTAAAGAACAAGCTACTAAAATTGTTTTGAACTTAAGGATCAACTTGGCATGTTATGATATGGAAAAAAATGTGGACTAAACTCAATTGCTAGTCTCAGTTGAAGTACACCCAACTGTTAACAATAACAAAAGTGCCACAGATTTATTCTGATTGGTATTAACAAATAGATACAGTCTCACATGATTAATAAATAACACAGGGACCCTTTCATTATTTGTCACATTTGCATGTTTCAAATGTCTAAACCAATTTTCACTATGGAGGATAGTCTGTTTTAATTGGGAAATCCACATATAAAGCCTTTGTCAATACAGCAGATTGTGTGTTTGTTTTTGTCAAATAACCACACTCCTGAGTTTCTACACAACTGAGTTCATCAATCAACTGATCAAAAGTGTAGTGTAAGGAAGTTGCAAGTGTGACTTTCTGGGACGCACATGTGTCTGTGGGTAGAACTACACTGCCATATTATCGAATTTCTGAATCCAGATAATATGCTTTATTATGTGAGTCTACAGTGCCATATAATCCCATTCAGAGTAGATAATCTAGAATCAGAAACTGGATTATATGGCAGTGTACATGAGGTCTAAGTGTAAGAAAGAGGGGAAGAGAAAGGGCACATCTAGTCTGGTCTGGTCTTATAATCAGGTCCACCCAGCACTGTAGCCACAAATCATTGTTATTATAAAATGGATTTTGCTCAAAATAATGTAAACTTACTGAGGAATGTATATTGAATAAATTAGATAAATTATCTGAAAACGGGCATGTACCACATGACCCATGAGCTGCAAGCAGCTATTATGGGCAGAAAATATCTGGTTTAAAGAAATGTTTAGCAGTTTCCTACTTGCTCTGGATTTTGGAAGGATTTCTTCAATTTCACAGGGGAACTCTGACAGTGTACTTTGCTGTGCTGTGTTCATTATTGATGACTTTCATGGTGGCAGTAAGCGGTAGCCCAACAGCCCATAACATATTCTGTGAGCCCAAAGACTAAATTTTGACAAAAGTGGAACAACTCACGCTTTAAACTGTAAAGTGATATAACACCGTAAATTATCAGAGATTATCTGATTCTCTAAAATGATATGAAGGTTTATCTGTTCAGCACCTGAATCAAAGAACTTGCAACTTTATGGAAATAGCTGTGAGTTTTTTAAAAATAAAAGAACATAGGTATACTAAATATATTCAGTAATACTATGCGGCATTAGTTTACTGACTGCTACACGAGAAATATTATCTAATTTTGTCCCAAACGAGAAATTACAGGACTCAATATTTCCTGAATATGGGCAATAATACTAAAAGACGTCATTAAAACAGGATTAAGATTCACAATTGACCAAATGGGGTAATATATTAAACTAATTTCAAGAGGTCATTTACAGTCAACTTGAATGATTCAATTATGGCTGGACTGTCATCAGCTGCAACTCAAATCATTCATTAGTGTGTGGAAATTTGAGAATATTTATATAAATTTCACTTTCATGAGATTAAAAAAAATGAACCCATGTTCAATATATACTTTGCAAATAAAAAAACTGTCAGACACATGCCTTGCATAGCATTTTGCATCATATTTTACAGATAGCAAACATCTCATGCTTCCAAATATGTTTATGACATTTATGACATTTATGGATTGTTTAATTCCTTTCACTGATAAAATGATATGAGAATATTTGACATAACAAATCTATAAAAACAGATTCACCTTCAAAAAATAACTAAGATGTTGGACAAGAGACAACTCTTTGTAATGTAGCAAAACGTATTTCACGATACTGCTAGGCATACTTTTCAAAAGATCATGAATGATTTTCGAGCTCTCAGAACAAAGCTAAAACAATGTACAGGTGGTCTTTTCATCCCTCCTCCCAGTTGTAAGAGACGGTCCTACAAGGGCCAAAAAATAGTACAGGTTAATAACTGGCTTAGAAAATGGTGTCAGGAGGAATGCTTTGGCTTCCTCGACATGGCCTGCTTTTCCAGGAGGATGGCCTACTGACAAGGGATGGGGTGCATCTCACACAAGTAGGAAAAAACCTTTTTGCTCACAGACTCGCAAACCTCATTAGGCACACTTTAAACTAGGTCCACCGGGGGAGGGGGACAACAGCCTTGCAAACACCCACAATGTCAGGGAACCACCAGAAGGCTAAACAGAACGCTGCACAAACACAATGAGGTCCAAGTACCGAAAGCACAATAATATCAAATAAACAGCTCAGGGGAAGATCTCAGGAGCTCACATGTCTTTATACTAATGCACAGAGCATGGGAAATAAACTAGAAAAAGTCCAACTTTTAGCACAACACCACAAATATGATGTCATAGTCATCACTGAAACCTGGTGGGATGACTCCTATCACTGGAATGTAGACATGGAGGGCTATAACATCTTTCACAGAAACCAAGCAAAGGGGAGAGGAGGCAGAGTAGCCTTATATGTCAAAAACTGTTATGCTGCAGAAGAGATGCAAGACAGCAATCCGGGAAACCAGCTTGAAAGCATCTGGATAAGAATCAAGGGAACTGGGACTCAAAAAGATGTCATTGTAGGCGTCTACTACAGACCTCCAAGCCAGGAGGAAGAACTTGATGAAGTCTTCTGCCAGCAGTTGACAGGCACAGAGAAGACAGATGTAGTAGTCATGGGTGATTTCAACTATCCTGATATTTGCTGGAAAACAAACTCAGCCAAGAGTACAAAGTCCAACAAATTCCTTGCTTGCCTTGCAGACAATTGCATGGTCCAGAAGGTAGAAGAGGCAACAAGGGGGTCAGCTACTCTTGATCTCATCCTAACAAATGCAGAGGACCTTATATGGTTGAAGTGGTAGGATCCTTAGGGGCAAGTGACCATGTGCTCCTGCAATTTGAGGTACAAAGGAAGGCCAAAACTAAGACAAGTCAAACCCGCATTTTGGACTTTAGGAGAGCTGATTTCCAAAAAATGAAGGAAACACTGAGCAGCATTCCGTGGACACAGATACTAAAAGACAAGGGAGTTACGGATGGATGGGAATTTCTCAAGAGTGAAATACTCAAGGCGCAATTGCAAACTGTGCCAACAAAGAGAAAAAATAGGACAAGTGCAAAGATGCCAGAATGGATGTCCAAATAACTGCTAACTGTGCTAAGACACACAAAAAACATGCACAAGAAGTGGAAAAAGGGAGAAATAACCAAAGAAGAATTCAAACAAATAGCCAACTCCTGTAGGGAAAAGGTCCACAAGGCTAAAGCACAAAATGAGCTCAGGCTTGCCAGGGACATTAAAAACAATAAAAAGGGCTTCTTTTCTTATGTCAATAGAACAAGGAGGCGATAGGACCTCTTCGAGGAGAAGATGGGGCAATGCTGACATGGGATAAGGAAAAGGCAGAACTGCTTAATGCCTTCTTTGCTTCGGTCTTCTCACAAAAAGAAAGTCATCAACTTCAGCAAGATGGAGTGGATGAGGGATTAGAGGACATCCAACCCCAAATTGGGAAACAACTCGTCCAGGAATACCTGGCCGCTCTAAACAAGTTCAAGTCCCCAGGGCCAGATCAACTACACCCAAGAGTATTGAAGGAACTAGCGGAAGTCATTTCGGAACCATTGGCAATCATCTTTGAGAGTTCTTGGAGAACGGGAGAAGTTCCAGCAGATTGGAGGAGGGCCAATGTGGTCCCAATCTTCAAGAAGGGAAAAAAGGACGACCCAAACAACTACCGTCCGGTCAGCCTCACGTCGATACCAGGCAAGATTCTGGAAAAGATTGTTAAGGAAGTGGTCTGCAAACACTTAGAAACAAATGCGGTCATCGCTAATAGTCAACATGGATTTATCAAAACAAGTCATGCCAGACTCATCTGATCTCTTTTTTCGATAGAGTTACAAGCTGGGTAGATGGAATGCCGTGGATGTAGCGTACCTGGATTTCAGTAAGGCCTTCGATAAGGTCCCTCATGACCTTCTGGCAAACAAACTAGTCCAATGTGGGCTAGGCAAAACTATGGTGAGGTGGATCTGTAATTGGTTAAATGGATGCTCACCAATGCTTCCTCTTCATCCTGGAAAGAAGTGACAAGCGGAGTGCCGCAGGGTTTCGTCCTGGGCCCGGTCCTGTTCAACATCTTTATTAATGACTTAGATGAAGGGTTAGAAGGCAGGATCATCAAGTTTGCAGACGACACCAAATTGGGAGGGATAGCCAATAACTCCAGAGGACAGGAGCAGGATTCAAAACGATCTTGACAGATTAGAGAGATGGGCCAAAACTAACAAAATGAAGTTCAACAGTGACAAATGCAAGATACCCCACTTTGGCAGAAAAAATGAAATGCAAAGATACAGAATGGGGAATGCCTGGCTCGAGAGCAGTACGTGTGAAAAAGATCTTGGAGTCCTCGTGGACAACAAGTTAAACATGAGCCAACAATGTGATGTGGCAGCAAAAAAAGCCAATGGATTTTGGCCTGCATCAATAGGAGCATAGTGTCTAGATCTAGGGAAGTAATGCTACCCCTCTATTCTGCTTTGGTTAGACCACACCTGGAATATTGTGTCCAATTCTGGGCACCACAATTGAAGAGAGATATTGACAAGCTGGAATGTGTCCAGAGGAGGGCGACTAAAATAATCAAGGGTCTGGAGTGTAAGCCCTATGAGGAGCGGCTTAAAGAGCTGGGCATGTTTAGCCTGAAGAAAAGAAGGCTGAGAGAGATATGATAGCCATGTATAAATATGTGAGAGGAAGCCACAGAGAGGGAGCAAGGTTGTTTTCTGCCTTCCTGGAGACTAGGACGCGGAACAATGGCTTCAAACTACAAGAAAGGAGATTCCATCTGAACCTGAGGAAGAACTTCCTGACTGTGAGAGCCT